CGGAACCGACTCCATGGCACATAACAACAACAATCCCTCCCATAGCTCTCTCTACTCAGCTGGGTTCAAGATACCTACTCCCACTTCTGGAGTTTCTTAGGGAAGTTAACAGTTTACAACGCAGGATCAGAAAATGCTCAGGGCACAGATCTTCCAGTCAGGACAGCTTTTCCTTAGCTGTGCCCACAAGCAAGGCTCTTTGTGCCAGAGTAATGTTACAAAGCTCTATCAGGGTTGCTGATAAATGCTCACAGAACACACCATTCCACCATAGGCCTCAGCCTGAAGGCACTTGTGGTTTGCAGTCTAAACCTTGTGATTCCCAGTTCAATGCTTATCCTATAGAGGCACAGAGGCATTTTTGTAATAATTCACATTATGTAATGTGAACTGGCCTGTTAAGAGTTTTAACTTGCGTGGTACCTATTATCTTCCTTACCTCCAATTGCTCCCATTTGTAATGGAAATGTCTACCTTTCACCTGTTCTACCACTATATTTGGATGCAGATTAACTTGTACTCTAGATTTACAGATAAAAAGGAATTTTGTACCAGGTTGGAATGTGAACTTGGGAGAAGTTTGGAATAAAATAATGGGATTAATGTGTTTTTGGTTGTATGTGTGTGATTTGCTTCATTCTAGATGCATGTATAAGGAGCGCTGGTAGTGTGGTTATGAGTTAGACTGCCAACCTCAAGGTCAGCAGTTTGAAACTACCAGCAAGCACTTCTGCGAGAGAAAGATGAGGTGTTCTGCTCCCATAAAGATTTACAGCCTTCTCAGAAATGCTGTGCAGGGTCACTATGAGCTGGAACCGACTCCATGGTACTTAACAACAACAGATGCATGTATGAATTAATCCTTATCTTCATTTAGATACTATGGAGATACATATAGGTACTAAGTTGACAAGGGGTGGACTTTGACAGTTAAGGTTTTACGTCAACTTGGCTGGGCCATGATTCTCAGTGGTATAACAGTTAAGCTGTAGTTATCACTGCCATGATGAGATCTAATATGATGCAATCAACCCAGGATATGATCTGATGTGATCAGCTCTGATCTGATTATCTTATGTGTTGTAAAACCTCACTTCTATGATGCTAACGAAGAACAATGCAATCTACAGAACTCTGTTGTATTTTGAGTTGCTCTCTTTTGGAATTCTAGCCTCCCAAACTGTGAGAAATTTCTGTTTGTTAAAGCTATTTACATGTGGTATTTCTGCTATAGCAACACTAGATAACTAAGACCTGTACTATTTAAGTTTTGTTATCACAAGGAAATGTGTTTGTTAATTAATTCCAGGAAGGAAAAAAAGGCTTCAAACTGCCTATTCTGCAACCAAATATACTATTTCTTGTGGGCTGTTCATCAACTCTTAACTGGTTTATAAATATTGGTCCTACTTGACAAGTTCCTTAATTTAATTTGCTCAGTATATATTTGGCAAGGAGTTAATCTTCAAAGATAAACCAGGAAGTCACATCGTTCAACATTAGACTGAGTGTTTGAAGGTTTTCCACCAAGTGAAAATATCTGGTTATTCTTAAAAAAAAGAAAAAAAAGGAAAAAAAGCCAGATGAAATTTCCTATGAGCATAACATAGGGTATAGAAGAACTTTGAGTTTTATGTTGCCATTGTTCTGTACATTAGATTAAAATCTATTTGCTAAGGGGAGGCTTTTGTTTTTTTTTCCAAATCAGGGCACATCTTTGACTTTGGCTAGATTTGGCTCTGATGCTGCTATGGTATCTTTATTTGGCTTCTCAGTTTTCAAAAGGAGTCAATTTAACCTTAACGACTGCTTTGTGTTAAAGCATAAGTAGTTGGTATG